CGCCTACTTCGTCCATTTAGTCACATTTCCTTTTGGCCAAAGCCTTCTTCCCATTGACTCCTACTCTCTATTGTTGTGAAGGCTTTCATTTCATATAAAAGTGTATGATGAAGAGATTCGAAGGTCGATCTCTCCACAAGTCGACGGCTGACTGCCGTCGAGCTGCAGCCGTTTGGCCTTAATACGATACGACATGTTCTCTCGTTTCGGGGTAAAACGAGCTGAGCTTCCATTCGTCACATGACGAACATCATCAGAGCTGGAAACCATTCTTGCAAAAGTCTCCAGTTACACTGAATGAAGAAGAAGCGTGTAGGATAGAGTCGGATATTCGTTGTGACTTAGTGAAAACTTGAAGCTTAGGCAATAAAGCTTTCCGGTTCTAAAAATGTGCATCATATGACTGACGAAATCTCAGCCCAGAACTCAACCTGAACGTCGTATTAAAGCCAAACGACTGTTGTACAACCGGAATCGGCCTACGAATCTAGTCATCAAACACTTTCATACGAAATGAAATTCTCCACAAAATTGTTATGCTAGGATATTCATCAAAACCTGCTTTTCCTTCATATTTCCTACCCTCACTGTCGCTTCATTCTCTTTACTCCACTTCTCGCGACCACTTACAATAATTTAACTTCTACCAAACCTCTGTTATCCTCTTACTCCACTTTAACCTTACTTTACTCTTCTACATTTCCATATTCGTTATCGTTATATTCTTCCTTTAATATACTCTTTTTAGTTTCTGCCCTAACCGCTTTACGTCTACCTCCAATCCCCTCTTCATCGACTCTACCACTCCCCACCCTACGCTCTCTCATTCTCACCAGTTATTGATAGGCTTATTCATTTTTCTGCCCTTCTCGTTAATCTCTTTATATTTTTTACCATTGTAATCATCTCCTTTCATTCGTCTAAAACTCTCAACCGATTTTCTCCCCTTGTTCACATATGTATTTATCTCCATTTTTTTCCTGAGCTTTTTCACTCTTTTACACATTTTCAGCATTTGCTCCATTCATTCTTTTTATATATATTCATTTTCCCCCTTTCTGTTTAATATGCTAATTATTATTCGCCAATAATCTATATTTACTTCCTTTCCGTTTTCAGGTTTTTGTTCTGTTTTAAATGTCTAATTGGTACTGTTTTTCCCGATTGTCCTCCAATTCGCAGCATTCCCTATTTTTTTTATTCTTCGAAAATTCTATCTTGTTCAATCTTTTTACACCAAGACACCTTACTAAAAATACAGAAATAAAGCTCATTTCACTAATTGAAATATATAGTTTAGTTGAGCATTGAGCAATGTAATGATTAGTATTTTGGTGTTGAAACTAGCAAAGCTTGCTTCAAGCTG